CAACACACGTTGTTTCCTTCCTGTCAGGTATTCCCTGATCCATTGCAGTACTTTCCCCTTTATTCCTGCCTGCTCCTCTAATTTTTGCACCAGTCTCTTGTGTGTGTGTGTGTGTGTGTGTGTGTGTGTGTGTGTGTGTGTGTGTGTGTGTGTGTGTGTGTGTGTGTGTGTGTGTGTGTGCGTGCGTGTCACAAGAATGCGTGACAGGGAATATGGAATTACCAGAGGCGACAGAGGAAGCGAGTGGTGGGGTGAGCAGGAGTCAAGAACTTAACTAAAGTGTTGAGTCACCAAGTTCCCGTGTGGGAAACTCCCAGACGATGTTTGGATGCGATATTTCATAGCTTTTCCTATTTTGTACATTACTGTCTTTATCACAATAATCACAATACAGTCTCCACGCTATATTAGCCAAACATAAAAAAAGTAACCGTGTGAGATGACTGATAATCACCTTGAAGCTGAAAAAAAAAAACCAGAAATAAATTTATGAGCGACTTGATAAAAGTTTGGAGTTGCCAGTTTGGCATCGCAGACACTGGTGTTTGAAGTCTTTTAATCTCCGAGGATTATGTGGTGAACATGCAGCTACCACAGACGGTACGTTGGTCCGAGCATACCAAGAACAGGGTCCTGCACTCCTGCAGGTGTCGTCAGCTCTCAGCCCAGCGAGATGAAGCAGATCGGGCTACTGGTGATGCTGTTGGTGTTCACTCCACGCTGCTATGGTCAGGCGTGGGAGCAGTTGGCAGTAGCTGTCGCAGAAAAACTTATCGAGTTAGTGATGAACAATTCTAGTTATGCAAAGTTGTATATATATATATATATATATATATATATATATATATTATATATATATATATATATATATATATATATATATATATATATATATATATATATATAATATATATATATATATATATATATATATATATATATATATATATATATATATATATATATAATATATATATATATATATATATATATATATATAAAGCTACATTTATTACTTGGTGTCGCACCAACGGTTCATCAATGTGATGGTGGTAGTGATTTATTCCTCGGGAAACAGGACACAGAATAAAGGCACACTGTCTACACCAGTGAAGAAGACACAGGTGCAGAGCAATTTTTACTACTACTAATAATAATACTAACAATAGTAATAATAATACTAATTTCGGTTCTCAAAAAAAAAACCGAACAAGTGGTACACCATATGCGAGAAGCTCATATAATGCACAACATTTCGAGCAACGTTCTGGTATGAGCCGAGCAACACAGCACCACAAAAAGTGAAACCGCGTCGCAATACAATATAATCTTGCTCTACACCCGTGTCTCTTCCTTATCAGGAAACATTACACGTATCTCCTGACATGTGTCAGGGAATGACCCGTACCTGGCTAATCCTCGGTTGGTTCATCCCATTTACGATTAATACATGTTTAAAAAACAGAGAGTGAATCTCTATCTAGTAGAGAGTTAGTAGAGAGTTAGTTAGTAGAGAGTTAGAAGAGAGCAAACGTGATATCCACATGCTTTTTCAAAATGCTAGTTTTAATATCTAATTCGGTGGTAAAACATTCTGTTTATGTTGTTTTTAAAGCGTTTTCTCTCCTGTGTGGGGGTCGAGCAGCCTGTGGCAGCTCGGAGAGTTCCAGCTCCTGGGCCACAAGTGTAACTATAGCGTCACACCCAAGATAAGAAGACTGGAACTGTACTTCCAGGGCAGCATGTGGTGTCCAGGCTGGACACTCATCAGAGGAGAAGGTAAAATATATAAGTATAATAGAATATTATGGGAGTGGACTAAAGCTATGAGTGTAGAGTAAAGCTATGAGTGCAAAGCTATGAGTGTAAAGCTATAAATGTAGAGTAAAGCTATGAGTGTAAAGCTATGAGTGCAGAGTAAAGCTATGAGTGTAAAGCTATGAGTGCAGAGTAAAGCTATGAGTGCAGAGTAAACCTATGAGTGTAGAGTAAAGCTATGAGTGTAAAGCTATGAGTGCAGAGTAAAGCTATGAGTATAGAGTAAAGATATGAATGTAAACCTATAACAGTAAAACAAATCTACGTTAGTACAGCCATGGATGTAAAGTAAAGCTATGAGAGTAAAAGAAAGCTATGAGCCTATAGGGAAGCTATAATGGTGCAGGAAATGATGCATAGAAAGCTATGATGATAAAAGAAAGCTGTAAGCGTGAAGGAAAGCTATGATGAGGGAACATAGCAGCTATGGCGAACCCTCGGGGGGAGAGCTGCCGTGACGCTGCTGAAGAGCTCTTCATCCAGAGAACTGGAGCTGCCCTCTCCTTCCTTGGATCAAAGCTGATGCCTTCCATTCCCCAAAAGCTGCGTGACCCCTACAGATTAACGTCTCCCCTTGTAGGTGATGATAATGATGATGATGATGATAATAATAATAATAATAATAATAATAATAATAATAATAATAATAATAATAATATTATTATTATTATTATTATTATTATTATTATTATTTATTATTACTACTACTATCATTATTATTATTATTATTATTATTATTATTATTATTATTATTATTATTATTATTATATATTATTATTATTATTATCACCCTCATCAAGGTGCTATCCTTAAAGGGATTATAATTAAGTCAATTCGAATGTTCCCGGTGTTTCTCATTTGTTTATCACAACAGTGGACTGAACCACCTGATGGTTGGTCTGTCTTGTGTGTTGGCTTGAAGGTGATGTGTGTGTTTAGTAGACACTTGATCAGGTTGATGTGTGTTAGACTGGTAATGATATGTGTGTGTTTAGTAGACACTTGATCAGGTTGATGTGTGTTAGACTGGTAATGATATGTGTGTGCTTATTAGACAATGGATCAGGGTGATGTATGTTAGTCTGGTGGTCAAGAGAGTCTTTAGTAGTCACTGGATCCAGCTTAGTAACCTCATCAAGGTGTGGGTTGTTATAAACATACATTATCACAAAGATAAGACTACGGATAATAAATAATCTCTCTTTGTGGACATCCAGCTGACATCCTTCTTAGCAGATCTTCTGACGAGGATTTCAGTTGGAGGTTGAAATACTCGTATCACCTAGTGTCTGTTCTTTTGTTTCCACGTGGAATTAAACCTCTCATTAAACAGTGCCCATAAAACTATGAGTCAGTACGCCCTCACACAAAGCTAATCCTATAATTATAATTTTTTATTAATAAAAACATAAGTTATTGTTCTCGGTTATCTTGTTTTTAAGTTACAGGAGAAGTATTACTTATTATTAATGAAACTCCTGTTGGGTAAATGGACACAAATGTAATTAATGTGACATTTTATTGTGCCAACGTTTCGCTCCTGGAGAGCGAAACGTTGCCACAATAAAGTGTCACATTAATTGCACCTGTGTCTATTTACCTAACATTTTGTCGGTAACTACCATTATTACTAATGAATATTCTTCTTGTGTTGCAGCGCTGACGCGCAGCAGGTCTGGCGTCATAGGTGACACTACACAGGACTTCGTGAGGAAAGCTTTCACCGCTGGCCTTATCACCGAGCAGGAAGCCCAGGCCTGGCTCACCACCTAACACTTTCTTTATACTCCATACCCCCGGCCGGGATTGAACCCGCGGTTTATTTGCAATCGTGTCATTACGATTTCTTGAGTCTTTCTTTATACTGTTTATCATGTCACTGGCATGTTGTTGCTTTACAAAGTTTTATTAAATTATCTGAAAACATTTGTCTACAACTTAATTTTTCCAAACCCTCGCCGTTTAATACAAAGTTATAATTATTATTCTCCTATTAATTGGTATTTTCGAAAGAACATTAGAAGGCTGGTGTATTCTGCTTTCTGACTTTTCTGGTTAGCACCGGCTGAGTCCTGAATTAATCAAGGATTACAGTTTGGGCCGAAAGCACAAAAAACAACTTACATTTTTTCCTCTCCTCTCCCAGTTGGTTATTGCACATATGCTAGAGAACAGAAGGACCATTGTTGACATGATTACAACGTACGAAATACAGGGAGGACAGTGAAAGTCCGAGAGCCACATCACAGGTACACGAGGCACGAGGTCACAGATGCAAGACAAACGCACAGATGGAATCAATAATTGCCGAAGCAATTCGTAGCCATCTTGACAGGCACAGATTGATTAATGAATCTCAACACGGTTTTACAAAGGGGCGTTCCTGTCTTACGAATTCACTAACTTTTTTCACTAAGGTGTTTGAGGAGGTAGATCATGGTAATGAATATGATATTGTGTATATGGACTTTAGTAAGGCTTTCGATAGAGTTCCACATCAGAGGCTGCTGAGGAAACTTAAGGCACACGGAATAGGAGGAGAAATTTTTTCCTGGGTAGAGGCATGGCTGACAAATAGACAGCAGAGAGTTTGCATAAATGGGGAGAAATCAGAATGGGGGCACGTCACAAGCGGTATTCCTCAGGGGTCAGTGTTGGGCCCGTTGTTGTTCACAATTTACATAAACGACATAGATGAGGGAATAAGTAGCGACATAAGCAAATTTGCTGATGACACCAAAATAGGCCGTCCAATTCATTCTAATGAGGACACTAGACCACTCCAGGATGATTTGAATAGACTGATGCAATGGTCGGAGAAGTGGCAGATGCAGTTTAATATTGACAAATGCAAAGTTCTAAATGTTGGACAGGTAAATAACCATGTCACATATAAACTAAACAACGTAGATCTTAATACTACTGATTGCGAAAAGGATTTAGGAGTTCTGGTTAGCAGTAATTTAAAACCAAGACAACAGTGCATTAGTGTTCGCAATAAAGCTAACAGAATTCTTGGCTTCATATCTAGAAGTATAAATAATAGAAGTCCTCAGGTTGTTCTTCAACTCTAAATATCCTTGGTTAGGCCTCATTTAGACTATGCTGCTCTGTTCTGGTCACCGTATTACAGAATGAATATAAATGCTCTGGAAAACGTACAGAGGAGGATGACAAAGATGATCCCATGTATCAGAAATCTTCCCTATGAGGATAGACTGAGGGCCCTGAATCTGCACTCTCTCGAAAGGCGTAGAATTAGGGGGAATATGATCGAGGTGTATAAATGGAAAACAGGAATAAATAAAGGGGATGTAAATAGCGTGCTGAAAATTTTCAGCCAAGACAGGACTCGCAGCAATGGTTTCAAGTTGGAAAAATTCGGATTCAGGAAGGATATAGGAAAGCACTGGTTTGGTAATAGAGTTGTGGATGAGTGGAACAAACTCCCGAGTGCAGTTATTCAGGCTAAAACGTTGTGTAGTTTTAAAAATATGTTAGATAAATACATGAGTGGGTGTGGGTGGGTGTGAGTTGGACCTGACTAGCTTGTGCTGCTGGGTCTGGTGCAGTGCTCCATCCTTGAGTGGAGATGATCAGACTGGGTGGGTCATTGGGCTAATCCGGGAGGGGGTCATTGGTCTAATCCGGGGGGGGATATGGACCTGCTCCGCATGGGTCAGTAGGCCTGCTGCAGTGTTCCTTCTTTCTTATGTTCTTATGTAATTATGAGCGACAGGGATGCTAGAAAAATATTTTTTTGTTTTAGTCTTAGAGTGGCCAGTAAGTCGACGACCTAGACAGCGAAATGGTAAAGGCAAAATCCATACATAGCTTTAAAAACAGGTATGATAGGGGTCATGCAACCAAGAGCTGAGACTCGACACCTGAAACACACATACACACACATTAGATCAGAAACAAGGGGTCACAATTGGAAGCTGAAGACTCAGACGAGTCATAAGGATGTTAGGAAGTATTTCTTCAGTCACAGAGTCGTCAGGAAGTGGAATAGCCTAACAAGTGATGTAGTGGAGGCAGGAACCATACAAGGCTTTAAGTCGAGGTATGACAAAGCTCTGGAAGCAGAGAGAGAGAGAGAGAGGACCTAGTAGCGATCAGTGAAGAGGCGGGGCCAGGAGCTGTGTCTCGACCCTTGCAACCACAATTAGGTGAGTACACACACACACACGCACACACATACACGCAGACACAGAGCAAGACTGGACCTCATATTCACCGTGAGTAGTTCAGACATTGTGGGCATCACATAACAAAGGCACCTAGGAGATAGAGATCATGTGGTCCTGAGCTTCGAATACATTGAAAAGTTAAAAGTGATGGGTGAAGCAGCACGAATAGGACTGGAAATGCCAAACTATAAAAGAAGAGACTACATAGGCATGATGAATTTCTTGCATAAGGTACAGTGGGAAAGAGAACTGGTGGGAAAAACATTAAATGAAATGATGGAATACGTGCGCTGGAGAATGGAAAAAGAATTGAAGACAAAGGACCCAGGAAAATATGTCAGTCAAAGAGCCAGAAGCAAATATGCATGGATAAGGAAGGAGGCCTAGCGGCAATACGAGAGTGACATATATCGAAAGTTAAATCTGACCCAAAGCTGTTGTCAGGGGCGGATCTACTGTGAAACTAATGAAGCTAAAGCTTCAGGTTCCTAATCCTGGAGTGACCTCACATTGATTAAAAATTTTGGGTCTACTGTATGAGACGGGGTTGCGAAGAGGCTCCCATAACAGTTCAAGCCACCGTCTGTCGTACAGCCACATCAGGAGGAAAACAACAGTCAAGGACCAGGGAAACAATTTGTGGAAAGAAGGAGGGAAGATCACACGAAACGACCAAGAAGTATGCGAAAAGCTCAACACGTGATTAAAGGAAGTATTTTCAGTGGAGACAGAAAGGACTCCAGCAAACCTGAATGTTGGGCTACACCAACAAGTGCTGGACATAATACACACAACAGAGGAGGAGGTGAAGAGGCTGCTAAGTGACCTAGATACCTCAAAGGTGGTGAGACCAGAAAACATCTCTCCATGGGCCCTGAGGGAGGTAACAGAGGCTGTGTGTGTGCCACTAGCAATCTTCAACACAAATAACAAAAAAGGCACAATGCTGTGACTGGAACGATACACAAATAACCCGCACATAAAAGAGAGAAGCTTACGACGACGTTTCGGTCCGACTTGGACCATTGACAAAGTCACACTGTGACTTTGTCAATGGTCCAAGTCGGACCGAAACGTCGTCGTAAGCTTCTCTCTTTTATGTGCGGGTTATTTGTGTAATCTTCAACACTATCGAAAAAGAGCAACTACCTGAAAAGACAGTAAGTGTAGTCCCAGTTTTTAAGAAAGGAGATGGACAGGCAGCCTTCAACTACAGACCAGTGTCATTAATATGTATAGTATGTAAAGTTATGGAAATCGTGAGGAGAAAAGCGGTGGAGCACCTATACACGATAATCAGCACGGTTTCGGACCTACTGGAGTTTTACGGCAAGGTGACAGAAGTAATACAGAAGAAATAGAGAGGGATGGGTAGAGTGTATTTTCTTGTACCGTAAGTAGGCTTTCTTTCTACACAGTCCCGCACAAGAGATCAGTGCAAAAGCCAGAGCAGGGAGGAATTACAGGAAAGACGCCGCAGTCAGAGAACATCTGACAGGAAGGAAACAATGATTGATGGTGCGTGGTGAGGTGTCAGAATGGGCGTCTGTGACGAGCGGGCTTCCACAAGGGTCAGTCCTGGGGTCTGTGCTGCTTCTGGTATTTGTAAATGACATGGCGGAAGGGATAGATTCATGGGTGTTCCTTTCGCAGACGATATGAGGCTAATGCTGAGAATTCAAATGGAAGAGGATCAGGTAGGACTGCAAAGGGATCCAGACAGGCTGGAAACCTGGTCCGACAACTGGCTCCTGGAGTTTAACCCCACCAAATGCAAAGTCTTGAAGACTGGAGAAGGTCAAAGAATACCACAGATAAATTACAAGCTAAGACGCCAAAGACTGCAAATCTCACTCAGGGAAAATGATCTTGGGGTGAGTATAATATCGAGCTCATTTGAGGCGCACATCAACCGAATAGCTGCTGCAGCATATGGATGTCTGGCAAACCCAAGAATAACGTTTCGACACCCGAGTAAGCAGTCATTCAAGGCACTGTACACCATGTACATCAAGCATGTCATGAAATTAGAGAAAGTGCAAAGGTTTGCAACAAGACTAGTCCCGGAGCATTAAGGGGCATGCCCTAAGAGGAAAGGTTAAAGGAAATCAATTTGACGACACTGAAGGACAGGAGGGATAGTGAGGACATGATAACGACTTATAAAATATTGAGAGGAATTGAAAGGGTGGATAGAGATGGGACACAGCAACAACTGGTCACAGCTGGAAGTTAAAAACTCAGAATAGTCGCAGGGATGTTAGGAAGTATTTCATCGGTAATAGAGTTTTCAGGGTGATATACTGGAGGCATGATCCATATATAGCTTTAAGAAGAAGTTCGATAAAGTTTTACTTATTCGTGCAGAATAAGTAAGACTTGCGATTCTGACTTAAATAACAACGCACTTCTTGCCGAATAGGGCAAGCGAAAATTTGTGTATGCAATAATGTCGCAAAAATCGTTCTGAACTTAGCGATAAAAAATATATTTCATTGTGTTTATTATTAAATTATTGTAAACTTATATAAAATATATTTAGTTGGATTAGGGTAAATTAAAGTGTTCTTGTTATAATAAAGTTATGTATGTTTTCTAAGGTTATTTTGGTGTGGTGATGTAGCCGCTAATACTCGCCGGGCACTTGCTAAGAGTAACATAAATGCTTCCTCCATAAACACATCATCTGTTATAGACCTGACTACGAAACGCAGCCCCACACATCTAACTTCCACAGCAGCGTCTACACCATCCCCAACAGATTCTGTTCCAAGAAATATGTAGGCGAAACATGTAGAGATCTTTCGGTCAGCCTGAACAAGCATCGAAATGCCAGTAACAGAGACGACTTAAGGTACGCATGTGTCCTCCACAGAGACTCCACGGGGCATTTGATGAACTGAGATGAGGCACAACTCGTTCTCACCGAACAAGACCTTAGACGCCGACGGTGCCTAGAAGCCTCGCTAATCGCCGTCACCGACACAATAGAACGTAGCACTGGAAACTACAAAATTTCTAAAACATTAACATACATGATACTCAAGAAGACAAAGCAGCACCAACCCAACAACACAGGAGTCACATGATCTCATCGTCTACCCGTTCTCATCCCAACTTGGCATTCTTCAGGTCACCATGGTCAATCACACCTCATTCTCCGCCTAAATATAATATCTTTCTACCTCTGTATGTTAGAAGTGATCAAGGTCCCAGGACAGAAACGTTTTCTAATAAATATGTCCGAGTGTTTGCTTACGTGTTTTTTCTAAACCAAGCTTAGTAACTCCTTTACTGGAGCAAAAACATAAAAAAAACAATAAAATACTTCATATAATATAGTAGTTTCCATATTATTAATTTACAGATCTTTAAATATATCAGTAGACAGGATTCAGCATTTGCTGAATTCACGTCTTCTCACTCTGTTTTATTATCTGAAGAAGAATGACGGCAAAACGAAACATTAAGTTATTCTCTTACTAGCAGAATATAATTGTTTTTGTATTATTAACCTAGAGTCTTTGTAGCCCAGAGTAACCCAAGAAAGTCAAGCTGTGTGGCTTATTTTAATCGGGATCCATTGATCCTCTTCCCCAAGATGCGACCCATGACGATAGGCTAACACCAGGGAACCTACTGACCAGTAGGAGAGGGGGGGCAACAGGTGCAAAGAAAATACCCAGTTCTTCCACTCGTCTCGAATTCAAACCCGAGTCGTTCTTATTTGTGAGCTGAAGCCGTTTCGGCCACTTTCCCAGGACCGGGTTGTCCGGCGGTATTTCCTGGGTTTGTTGTCACTCTCGCGGAAACATGGAAAGTTACTGCTCACCTGGGGATTTCCTCAGCATGTTCACCTGCAACGTTGCAAGGTGTCTGTATAAACACATATAACTGCAGTTTCAATAAAGTTTTTTTTTTTTATAATAAAACTGGGATTACAGCTTCTTGGGGAAATGGTATGAGTTTATTGATCTGCAATCGAGAAAATATTGATTTAATAGAAGTAAATTATGGGGTATAGCTTGTGATGAGTGTGTTGTGTTGGCATCTCCCAGGCTGGTGAGCGAGACGCTCATAATATAACTGGCCGCCCTAACACCACCATCACACCACACCACACAAGTGCTTCACAGAGCTTACACTCTACCAAGGTGCTCCAAGACTCACACTTGAGTCTTGAAGACAAAACTTAGAAGTAAAGATGCGGTCGTCTGTGTTAGTGAGCGTGGTGGCAGTGTCGCTGCTGGTGGCACCTCTAGTGCCACAGAGCAACGCACAGATTACAGAGGCTCTGGTAACAGCCTTGGCTGGGAAAGTTGCTGGGTGAGCAAATAAAGCAGTAAAATATTACACTAAAGTAAAATATTATACTAAATAATTTGTATAACGTAATTAGTTACAGAATGTCCAAATTTCATCCCTCTGAATACTTAATGCTAATGAAATATCAATAAATACTGAAACTGGATTAAAACCTACTTTGGACTATGGAAAAGGAAATTAAAAACTAAGAAATATATGAATGTTTCGGGCTCACGATGAGACCGTCTTTAGTATAAGATTAAGGCCGAGAAAATCAAATAACTTTAACCCAAAAAATTATTTTACGAAGTGTGCTTTAATTCCAATAAGCTAATGTTCCTTATTAATTGTAATGTTATGGCGCAGACTGTGGGATAATGGCCAGCTGGAGCTACTGGGTAACTACTGTAACTACAACGTCAGGCCTACCATCAAGAAGTTTCAGCTATACTTCAATGGAAGCATGTATTGCCCTGGCTGGACCACCATCAGAGGAGAAGGTAAACACACTAATTTATTCCTTACAGGAGCTCAGGGAAAGTTGATAGTACCTTGAGTAAGTTAGGTGTAAGATCCACAACCTTCACAACCATAGCTCAGTGTTTACTACCTGAAGCTGTTACTGCTTGCCACAACAAATATTTTCCATCGAGGTAATAACTGTTCGAGTGGACTAAAGTATCATTTAATTAGTTACTGCTTAGAGACATTATGCTTCAGGAGAAGACAAACAGCATCACAACAAGCAGCTTTTTCAGGGTGGTACTGAGGAATACTTTACATTCGATAATATTAAATATTATCATTTATATAATTAATAATTAAATAATTTCGACGAAAATGTGAGTAAACAAATGATTACAATGTAAGATAATGTGATCACTGTGGAGTAATCATGCCACACTGGGCACTGTGGGGGATCATTTAATCATTTTATGTAACAAATTATCATTTATTTATGATTAAAAAAAATAAAATTAATCGAATCTTAAGAAAAGCTATGCACAATTTGTTGAAAATGATAATAATAATAACTAATAATAATAATAATAATAATAATAATAATAATAATAATAATAATAATAATAATTATTATTATATTATTATTATTATTATTATTATTATTATTATTATTATTATTTTTATTACTTCCATTATTATTATCATCATCATCTTCGGAATGCGCTGAAGAATGGGAACTAAGAGGAAAAAAACAAAAGCAAAAAAATAAGAAGGTTGTACTCCAAGAAAACGGAAAACAGATCCAATTCCTTGGAAATCTTTCAGTAGTTCTGGAACTGGCAGCTGTGCTGTATGACCCTTGTAGGTTTAGCGCTTCCTCTTATTATAATAATAATTGGATCGGCTATTAGCAGAGTTCTCATTAGTTTTGCAGAAATCGTCCTCATGATACATCTTTATTTACAGAGTTAATGGCATATTGTCACTATAGTCGTGGAAAATGTTATGGAGATGTCAACAAACTGTGGAAAACGACACTTGTATACACTTCAGGACACTAATTAAACGAAGCGCTTCTTCATCAGTCACGGACTGATGAAGTCACTCGTGGCTATACGTTTCATTTCAATAATGTCTATTATGGAACATTAAAGGGTTAATAAATTTCCTGAAGTGTACGAAGGTGTTCTTTTCCACACTGCTATTAGAGTGTTTCATTGTATATAAATCCATGTTTTATATTACAGCATCAACGCGGAGCAGGTCTGGTGTGGTCGGGGAGACCACCAAGGACTTCATCAGGAAGGCTATGGCAGCCGGTCTCATCACTCAGCAACAAGCAACAGATTTTTTGAAAACTTAAGTCATTTCTCTTTCTTAGAACCCATAAATAACCCGTATTTTGGGGACAACGAGCAGCTGTATTTCATAGTTCCCCCGAGTTATCTGGAAAAATAATACGTTTTCGTGGTTCAAAGAATAGTTTAATTTCTTATATCTGATTAAGATTCTTCAACTGATAATTAAATTTTTGTTCAGATTCCCAAATATTTGTCACAGACAACTAAGGAACCACGTGATCGTGATTCTCTTACCATTCTGCTTATTTACTTCTGTGATCACATGCTCAAGATATTTTTTATATTTGGTAGTCATTCCAAATGAATGCCTTATATAATGTTTTCGTGATATGTAATAAACAAATTTAATACATTCATATAACATTTGTTTTATTCCTCCAAATGTAACGTCGCTGCTGCAAATACGAGCAACTTGACGAAACAAGATCATTAATTTGTATAAATGGATTAGAAAACCTACAAGTTGATAATGGAGACACCTGGACGACATTTGGGAACCTTTATTCTCGAAACGTTTCCCCAACCAGTGGCTCTGGTGGCCTGGTGGTTAACGCTCTCGCTTCACACGGCGAGGGCCAGGGTTCGATTCCCAGCCAGAGTAGAAACATTGGACGTGTTTCTTTCCACCTGTTGTCTATGTTCCCCATCAGTAAAATGGGTACCTGGGTGTTAGTCGACTGGTGTGGGTCGCATCCTGGGACACTGACCTAAGGAGGCCTGGTCACAGACCGGGCCGCGGAGGCGTTGACCCCCGGAACTCTCTCCAGGTAAACCAATCCAGGTCTTCAGTCTTCTTACTCCTAAACCAATATTATTTCATAGTGACTATCTGTCCATTTAACTTTGTTTACCATTACTTAATTTTAGTCCCTTATATATTTTTTCCTTTATTTTAGCTTTATATAACAACCTTAGTTCATATATTCACAATTGTTAAAATAATCAAGGTGCTATTCTCAGGTGCTAAAGTGTAATAAGTTCACGATTTTGCCATTATATTCCAAAGCTCATTTATTTGATTACCACTTTATTGTTCACCACAACTTATATTAGTCCCTTTTATATTATAATTTTATATTATAATTCTAACTTTAAAGAATTACCTTTAAAGTACTACCTACTATCATATTCCCAAGCTCCATTATTTGATCATCACTTTATTTGTTCACCACAAATTATTTTAGTCCCTTTTATATTGTCTCCTTTATTTTAGCTTTAAAAAACTACCTTAGCTCATTATTTTTACATTTGTTAAATAATTCAGGTGCTATTTTTTAGCTTTAGAATATTTACTTTGTTTCATACTTAATTCTAACTATAGATTCACTACAAATCTTATGATTACAAGCATTGATCCTGATACCAACCTCTTATTTAATGACTTAAATGATTCAAACAGTTACTGTAATTACTACACAGCAGAACAATCAAAGGCACTTCTCAGAGCCAACAACAACATAACTATCTTTAACTACAATATCAGATCTTTAAGCAAGCATTACGATGACCTCATAGCATTACTAAATTCCTTGCATGCCAATATGTCCATCATTACACTAACTGAAACCTGGCTAAAGCCTGATACTACTGATGTCTATGCCATTCCTGGTTACACAGCCATACACAACTGTAGGCCAGACCAACAAGGGGGTGGCACAGCTATATATTACTCAGACCAACTAGAATGTATCACTAATACTTGCACAAGGGATGAACATGGGGAATATATAATAGCTAAATTCAAATCCAAATACCTACAAAAACCTCTCACAGTGATAAACATCTACAGAATTCCACAATCAAACATTAGCCAATTTAGTCAAAACCTAGGAAGTATGATAACTGATGCACGCATGAACAAAGATCACTTACTACTCTCAGGTGACTTCAATATAAATCTCCTGCAAGACCAGGACCCACACGTTACTGAATTCACAAACACAATGAGTAACTGCATGTTGCTACCAACAGTAACAAAACCTACAAGAGTTACGGAGACTAGTGTTTCCCTACTTGACCACATCTGGACCAGCACCATATCCCCTTTAAAATCAGGCATAATTACAGATAATACCACAGACCACTACCCTACTTTCCTCATAACAACTCTTGGTAAATTACCCCAAGACACTACTAAAGTCACCTTCAGACTTCACAATGAGGCAGCCATTAATAACTTCACAACAGCAGTAACAAACATTGACTGGCACACTGAGCTAGAAATCTATACAGATATTGACGAATGTTTTAATAATTTTCTAAAGAAGACCCAATACCTTTATAACAAGCACTGCCCTAAAAAAAATAAACAGATGACAGCTAAGAGACTGAACAGTCCCTGGCTAACACCCAGCATTCCCAAATCCATAAATACAAAACACCGATATGAAAAACAGTACAGAATGGGTCACATAACCAGAGACCAAACAAAACGTTACTCGTCAATCCTAACCAGCCTGATAAGAAGGGCAAAAAAATTGTATTATGAGAACAGATTATCCAACTTACGAGGTAATATAAAAAAGACCTGGAAAACCCTATCAGAAATTCTGGGAACAAAAAAGATATCACGAAATAGCGAAATAAAATTAGCAAAATCAGATGAACCCCAACTCCCACCAGCAGAAACAGCAAACAGACTCAATGATTTCTTCTCCACTATAGGACAAAACCTTGCCAATAAAATCCCAAGCTCAGATACCTCACCAAATGACTACCTCACTGGCAACTACCCGAACACACTGTTCCTAGCTCCGACTAACCCATACGAAGTCTCCCTTATTATCAACGCACTAAAAAACAAGGCAGGAGATTTAAATACCTTACCACCCTTTATATACAAAAAAGTGTCACAAGTGCTATCACCAATCATTGCAACACTCTTTAACAAATCCATTGAATCCTCCACCTTCCCTACAGTTCTCAAAATAGCAAGGGTCACCCCGATCCATAAAGGAGGAGACCAAACAGAGTTGAATAACTATAGGCCAATATTCAATTTACACCCTCTCTCAAAAATCTTCGAAAAATTAATTCATAAACGAATCTACTCCTACCTCATCTCCCAAAACATACTCAACCCCTGCCAGTTTGGATTCAGGCCTAATAAAAATACTAATGATGCTATTATACACATGCTAGAACATATATACACTGCAATAGAGAAAAAAGAAGTCCCACTGGGGATCTTCATTGACTTACGTAAAGCTTTTGATACAGTTGACCATGACTTGCTCCACGTAAAATTGTCACACTATGGTATAAGAGGGCACTCCCTCAACTACCTCAAGTCATACCTCAGCAACAGAAGCCAATATGTGTACGCAAATGGGGCAAGCTCTTCCGCACAACCAATTACAGTTGGTGTCCCACAGGGAAGTGTCCTTGGCCCTCTTCTCTTTCTCCTATACATAAATGACCTACCAAATGCTTCGCAATTACTCAAACCCACACTATTTGCAGATGACACTACATACGTCTTCTCTCACCCGAGCCCAGTCACGCTAGCCAATACTGTAAATACCGAATTACAGAAAATATCTACCTAGATGAGGACTAACAAACTTACACTAAACATTGACAAAACCTACTTCATTCAGTTTGGTAACAGAGCTACAGATGTACCTCTTAACATAATGATAAACGGATCACCTATCACAAAGCTAACAGAGGGAAAATTCTTAGGAATCCACCTTGATAATAGACTCAAATTTCATACACATATACAACAAATTTCTAAGAAAATTTCCAAGACTGTAGGCATACTATCGAAGATACGGTACTATGCTCCACAGTCAGCCCTCCTGGCCCTATATCACTCTCTTATTTACCCCTATCTCACCTATGGAATTTGTGCATGGGGCTCAACAACAATTAACCATCTCAGACCACTAATTACCCAACAAAAGGCTGCAGTTAGAATGACAACAAATTCTCACTACAGGCAGCACACTCCACCAATATTCAAAATACTCAACCTACTCACCATACAAAACATCCATACTTATTATTGCACCTATTACATACATAGAACACTTAACTCTGATATTAACCCTCCCCTCAAACATCTCCTTGCCAACCTCAACAGAACACATGACCATAACACAAGGCACAGATCACTCTTTGATGTTCCTCGTGTCCATCTCACGCTATGCAAAAACTCAATGCACATAAAAGGCCCTAAAATCTGGAATTCATTACCTGTAAATATAAAAGAAACACTACCTGTTTATAAATTCAAGTCTCTTCTCAAAGATCACTTACTCACCCAAAACCAAATAAATACTGAATAACTGAACCTTATAAATTGTATATCTTAAATGTTTCTCACAATTATATCACATAAATGTTAAACCTAAAACCCAATCTAACAGAATACTCCATTCGACTGAATATACAGCAATGCATGCAACCATATGACCTGTCTTTGTAATACTCATTTGTGCTTTGTAGTTATCTGTTTACAATAATGTCTTATCACTGATTTCATCATTGCTTAGTTAATCTTAAGTTAATTTTAAGCCAGCCCGTAATGCTATGCATGTAAGTGGCTTTGGCATGCTGCTCTTACCTGTATTTTTTTGTACCTCTGTATGTATGCTCAAATTACTAAATAAATTAATAAATAAATAAATATTAGAGAAGAACGGGAGAAGTTGGAGAGGAGTTTAAGGTAACCAGTCCCTCAGCTTTAAGACAATGTGTTCAGTCCATCAGTCTTGATAAAAGTACAGCATATCTATGCAGAAGAGGCTTATATATGGCAGACAGATGACGTTAAGCAGTGGTAGGTGGAGATAATCAATGGAAAATTCCTGTAATGGAAGTAGGTCATGTCTATAGTTTAGGCAATCTTTGAAGAATTCCCTGTATCTAGATCCCTAGACGTTGCTGTGTCTGTCCGTGTAGGAGCCCAACTCCATAATTTTTAAGTTTGCTTTTAACAGTAAATATTAAACCCAGACGCATTTGTATTATTAGAGTTCTCCAACTTTTCTGTTTGTATGATTTCATCCAGATGTAATACCGCATACAAAATAAAAGTGTTATGAGAAGTACAGGGGAATTGATCTTAAATTTTTACTAACGACCTATTACAAAGCCATGAACAGGCTAGATGCTAGAGGGGGGAACAATAAGTTGACCTAGTTGATGTCTATGCTAATAGATCTCGTATTTTGTAACAAACATCATCATGCTCACATGGTAAACTGACCTATGGAAAATTTATAAGGGGTTACCTGAATGAACTTCAACATTACATTCGTTCAAGTAATCTCATTGGGAGGCGATAACCATATATTGTGAGAAAACTTAGCTACCCCTGGTCACTGCAGGTGGCTCCTTCGACCTCACAATCTT